CTTCCTCTCTTCCTTTCTTTTTTCCATCCTTCCTAAACTTCTCTTTTACCTACTCATAGAAGGGAAATAGTTGAGATATAAGCTTTTTAACTTGGGTTAATTTCTAAGAATGGACTAAAGTTCATTAATTTTTCTTCTCTTTCTTGCTAATATTCCTGTTTGTTGTTTCTTTGTTATTATTGGTTGTAATGACACAATTTAAATATGTCACAAGTGGAATAAAACTATCCGCCTTTTTGTATATAAGCTGTCAGATTTCCATGTGTGTAAGAAAGTAAGGCTGCAGAAATGTAAAGAAAAGAAATTACTGACAGGAGAAAAGAGATAAACAATTATAAATACTATTTACCTAATGAATATTTTCTAAGTTTATCACTTAGCTTTTGCCTCAATTATGTATAATGGTTATTTTTTATAAACTAAATTTTTTTTCTCATAGGAAATATATTTTTGTGTATGAGTTGAGAAGTACTTTCTGAAAATAAATTTCAAGGAAAATGGACTCTTCCTTATAAATCAAAACAGCTCTTAACATATAAAATAGAGTTAATGCATGTTCTGTAAATCAGGCAGGTTTTTTGTTCAGTGTGTTTGATTTTACCTTGTGAACATTATCTCTTGACAAAGGAGTGAGAGAGAGGAAATTAGATGTTCTGCTCAGCACAAATCTTCCCTTATATACACATGCGTTTTGTGTTGCATTTAATTTTTTAAAGAACAGCTTTATTAACATACAAATCACATGGACAAATCACAAAAAGGACCCCTGTATTCATTAGCAATCAGTCCCCATCATCACTCTCCCTTAGCCCCATGCAACCACTAATCTCTGTCTCCATATATTTGCCTGTGCTTCATATAAATAGAATCATACAGTATGTGTCTTTTGTGATTGGCTTCTTTAACTTAGTGTGATGTTTACAAGGTTTCTCCGTGTTATAGCATGTATTACTACTCCCTTCTTTTTATTGCTAGGTAATATTCTATTGTGTGGATATACAACATTTTGTTTATCCATCAATTGATAGACATTTGAGTTATTTGCACTTTTTGACGATCAAAAATGATATTGCTATGAACATTCATACACAGGTGTATTTTGGGACATATGTTTTCATTTCTGTCAGATATATATATGAGTGGAATTTTTGGATAATATGGTAATTCTATGTTTAACATTTTAGAGAACTGTTAAACTGTTTTCCAACCTGGCTGCATCATTTTACACTCCCATCAGCAAAGTTACAATTTCTCCACATCTTTCCTTTACATGTAATTGTCTTTTTATTATAGCTATCTTAGTGGGTATGAAGTGCTTTCATTGTGGTTTTGAATTGCACTTCTGTAAAACTAATGATGTTGAGTATTTTTTTTCGTATGTTTGTTGGTCATTGTATGTCTCTTTCTGTTTTTGCTTTTAAAGTTTATTTATTTTGAGAGAGAGAGAGAGAGAGAGCACATGAATGGGGGAAGGACAGAGAGAGAGGGAGACAGAATCATAGCTGACTCCACCCTGCCAGCACAGCACCTGATATGGGGCTTGACCTCACAAACTGTGAGATCATGACCTGAGCTGAAATTAAGAGTCAAATGCTTAACCAAATGAGCGACCCAGGCACCACCATTTGTATGTCTTATGTAGAAAAATATCTGTTCAGAACCCTTGCCAATTTTTTAGTTGGGTTATTCATCTTTTTATTATTGAAAATAAAAGTTCTTTGTATATTTCAGATACAAATCCTTTATCAAATATGTGATTTTCAAATATTTTCTCCTATTTTGTGATTTGCTTCATTTTCTCAATGGTATCATTTGTATCACGAAAGTTTTTAATATTGATGTAGTCCCCATCTATTTTTTTGTTTCTTGTGCTTTTGGTATCATATGTATGGTATCAAACGTAAGAGTTTTTTTGCTTTTTGCTATAAATATCTTGCCATAAGCACAAACTAGTTGTGGATTATCCAAGAGTATGTACTGCTAAGTTATTTCAGATTAAAAAAAAAATCACTTCATGGATATATTTGGGGAGAAAAGTTTCCGAAGTCCTGTTGGCTGGGCTTGGTTTATGCTTTGGGAATGAATAACAATGTCCTGTTTTGTGAAAAGGAAAATAATCTATAGTTATTTAGATTACAGAATGGAGAAGACTTTTAGGTCATCTTATTTTACAGTCAGGAAACTGAAGCCTAGGAAGCTCACTAACCTGGGAATATTCAGGCTTTGTAAGCTAGGCAAAATGCAAAATGGAACCTTCTTAGTAATCTTTCCACTGCACCAGCATTTCTCAAAATGTTAGTTAGAAATGTTTGGTTGCAAATATTTTGGAGACAAAATTCCAGATCAATTCTGTTTAGTCATAAAATGTAACTTACCAGTTACCTTGATGAGGAAGTCCACTATTACAGCTGATTTCAGATATGGATAGATTCAAAGGCTCTAATAATGTCATAGGATTCCCCACTAATTTGTAGCTTTCAGCTGATTGGTTCATTTTTTTTAAAAAAAGGTTTTTTCCATATGGTGGGAAGAATACATTAGGATAGCCTAATAATCATGCCCTACTTGCTTTGCAACCTCCAAAAAGAGAAAATCTTCCCTGATAAATTAAGAGAAAAGTCCCAGAGAGAATACTGATGATGTAGCTTGACTACATGTCTATGCCTAAACACACCAAAACCAGAGGATGATGCTAACCTGAACAGATTTCAGTGACTTCTTACCTCTGTGACCAGGAGGACAGACTCACTTGAACCAGAAGGAAGAGATTCTCTACTGGAAAGAGGGGTTCATTTTATCAGGGGTAAAAGAGAGTTGTGCTGAATCAACAGATCATCAGAGTTCCTATGCTTCCAAAATGTTGAGATATGCTAGTAGGTATTGTATAAATTTGATTTTTTAAGAAAAATTGAAAGCCCCAAATGACAAAAATGCAACTCTGATGATGCGCTACTATGTTAACTTAAATTTCCAAGAGATTTCCACGTTTTCTGATTTTATTGCCTTTGGAAGAAAACATGTTTTCACATAGAATTTGACTCCTGACTTTGTGAAAGGGAAATAGGTATAAAACTCTAAGTCTAAAGAGCTGGAAAGATATGTTTTGTTTTTATACTCTTTGAGCAAGCAATTCTTTCCATATTAGATCTCCTGGAGGGAGAGTGTTCCACCAAGTACAAAGCCTTTTTTTTTTTCAGTCGCCCTCCCACCTTTTACTAATTGGACTGAGATTTGGCCACTTGCCTCTTTCAAATAAAAAGGTGACCAAAATCACCGGAAAATGGCTAATCATGCCCACAATGGGAAAATTATTCCCATGAGTATGTACTTCAGAGTGTAAAATGAAGTCCCAAATTTAATCACAATTTTATCTGTCTTTATGGCTATTCAACTATTCAACCTGGAATGTTCATTAGATAAGCAACTAAGCATAATGTCTCTCTCTCTCTCTCTCTCTCTCTCTCTCTCTCTCTCTCTCGGGGGGGGGGGGGTTCCAATACAGTGTCAGTAGGGCTATTATAGTCAAATTAAACTCAAAGTTGGGAGATTTTATACCTTGTTTTTAATTGCATTAGCATGTTATATTCTAAGTTGTGACTATTAGAGTGTATACAAACAATTTGTTAGACTTTTAGTTTATATAAGTTCAATATTAGGAAATATGTTGTTAACTATATGAACATCATATTGGGAATATACTTGTTACCATTCACTTTATTTGTTATTTTCAAAACTGACTGAAATGACAATAAAACCAAACATATTATTTCTGAAAAAGATAAAAGAACTTGGGATGCATATGACCACTCTGAAATATTGGGTTAATTTTCAGTTATGATGCTATAGAAATTATAGCAAATAACTTAAAACATGTATAAGCTTGGTTATGTTTTACAAATTTTATTGTGATATAATAATAGTAATGACAATATCTAACTTTACTGAGTTATAAAAAGTCTATGTACATTATCTCATTTTATTTTCACAACAGCCTTCTGGTTAAGGTTTTTTTGCAAATGAAAAAAATACTTATAGAAGTTTAACTTGAAAGTGTGACGATGAGTTGGGTTTTCAAATCAGCACTTGTAACCAGTACAACCACTACCTCTACCTATCACAATTGTCCATTAGACTAATTATTAAATATCAGTTGGATGCTGTTTTTATTTCTTTTAATATCTCCCTCAAAAAGGGAAAACTGTGTCATTAGTCAGTAAGACAATATTTATCATACACATTTTCTTAGCATGTGGAATTTAATAGTTGTAGTAAAACCCAGAAGTCTCTTCAAAAATAAATGACTTTCTGGAGGTTTTTATTGACTTTTTAAAATTGGCTATTGGATGTGCTTTTATATACAGGGTCATTCATAAGACTTTGATGAATTAAATGTAATAATTTTCTTACTATTTCATTGATTACCTTGTTGAATTTATGCATTGTTGAATCTTCCTTAACATGCCCTGTAATTTCTGGTGCTGTAAATTTTAAATTTAAAAGAAAATGTTTTTAATGTTTATTTATTTTTGAGAGAGAGAGAGACAGAGTGAGAGCAGGGGAGGGGCAGAGAGAAACGGAGTCACAGAATCTGAAGCAGGCTCCAGGCTCTGAGCTGTCGGGGCTCGAACCCACGGACCGCAAGATCATGACCTAAGCTGAAGTTGGACACTTAACCAACTGAGCCACCTACGCGCCTCTTTAATTTTTTTTTATGTAGATCATTTTCTGTTAAAGGCAAAAGAGATAAAAACCCAATGTATCCCAAATTCATAAATTGTTGGCTTCCAACCCAGGAACATTTAGTCTATTAAAATGTTGATGACAATAAGTGTAGCTTGACTTAGATGAACTAATCAGAACCCATTTCGAAAAGTGTGGCAACGAGGCTTATGAAGTATGTTTGCTCTTCTATTTTGATTCTCTGCAGTGGAGAAGAGAGAACTAGACTTGCCCCCAATGGCCTTTCTAAAGCAAGAAGCTCTAAAATGTTGCAGTATATGTAGAGGTGAAATCAAGATGTACTTTTTTTTTTTTATTTTTGGCTTAGATCTTTTCCCCTGAATTCTCATATAGCAAAAGAAAAAAAATTATGTAGCCAAATGGTCTACTTTCCACTGTCTCAGATTCAAACTCAAACTCTTTTGGGCAACTTAGTAGGAGGATACGTAGAGAAAGCCTTCTTGAGCCAGAAAAAAAGTGTTAGGAATGACTTAGTTTCAAGGATATTTTGGATTTGGGTTAGTTTGAACAAAACCATTCCTCTATTCTAACCATTTTTGCCTTTTACATAAATTTGAAAACCTATCCAAGGCTCAAATTATTTTATCCTACTCTTTCATTTGACAAATGAGATATCTGGGAAGGTATGTAACTTGTTCAAGCTCATTGAATGACAACATATTGACTGAGCACTTCCAACTAACTTCCTGTCTTAAATGTTGGTGAAATTACCCCTCTTTAGAACCTTATGAATGAGTCCTGTGGACTGTGTTTAAAAGTAATGAACTAAACCACTAAAATCAGCATACGATTACTATTCTCCATCATAAATATTTTTATTGAGAAATCTTCACTTACTCCCATCTTCCTACACAACTAGGTGACAGTAGGTGCTCACTAATTAGGGTAAGATGACTAATTGAATGTCTACAAGTATTTCTTAATTTAAAATTACCTTACCAGGCGCCTGGGTCGCAGTCGGTTAAGCGTCCGACTTCAGCCAGGTCACGATCTCGCGGTCCGTGAGTTCGAGCCCCGCGTCAGGCTCTAGGCTGATGGCTCAGAGCCTGGAGCCTGTTTCCGATTCTGTGTCTCCCTCTCTCTCTGCCTCTCCCCCGTTCATGCTCTGTCTCTCTCTGTCCCAAAAATAAATAAAAAAACGTTGAAAAAAAATTTTTTTAAATTACCTTACCAAAATGGCAAGACTGAGTTGTAAAGCTATTTACTAATGTAAGTTTTTTAAAAAGTAAAATATCCCAACTTCACTAAGAAAAAGAATTAAAAGAAGGAAATCGTGTGAAGAAAAATATAAATGTGTTTGATAAACAAAACAGAAATGAAATATGAAAATTGGGTGGTTAGGCAAAATAACTGAATAAGCAACACAGAAATGTATCCTGCACTTTTTAAACCTTAATTATCCCAATAATGGCTCAATTCTCTAAGTCAGTATAGTGCAGGGCAAAGGGCCTGATTTAGAGTTGGAGATTCTGAGTACTTAGCCTGGGGTCAACCCTAAGCATCTGTGTGTCTTTGGCCAACTCACTAAGATATTCTGTTGAGATTAACACTGGCATGACTAATTAAAATTATAGAGTAATAAAGATATTCTGTTGAGAATTATAGAGTAAAATTATATAGAGTAAAATTATATAGAGTAAAATTATATTATATAGAGTAAATTATATACTCTATATATACAGTATTATATTATATAGAGTAAAATTATATAGAGTAAAATTATATTATAGAGTAAAATTATAGAGTAATAAAGATATTCTGTTGAGATTAACACTGGCATGACTAATTAAAATTATAGAGTAATAAAGATAATAACAATAGCTAATTCTTATTGGGTGTTTATTATGAGATGAGTTCTTTACATGTATCATGTAATTTAACACTTAAAACAATCTGACAAGATGAGTTATGATAAAAATTCTAGGCAACATTGATTAAGCCACTCTTTGTATACTACTTTTCCTGTCAGGAAATAGGGTTAGTGAGTTGAAGTGTTGTAAGAACTGTTTGAAGTGTTTGAAGCTGTGTCTCTCTGACTCCAGCACACATCTTTTAAATAAGTATGCAATATAAAAAAGGGAGCTAAAGATTAAGTACTCATTTTTCTAGTTAGGTAAACCAAGCAGAAAAGAATTGAAATACTTTTCTTAAAATCACATAACAATTTAGGAGCAGCTGGAAAGAAATATTCTATAGCTAATGTGATTGCCTTGCACTATGATAAATGTATTCTAAAGTTAGGAAGAATGACTGGCCAGTTGTGAAGCAGAAAGTTACCACTTACATTTGACAGGAAAATGTAAGTTTTGATCAGGTAAGGATTTACGGTTGATTTTCTATTATGGCTGTAACATATTGCCACAAATTTAGTAGCTTAAAACAAAATACATTTATTATCTCACAGCTCCATAGGTCAGGAGTCCTGTGGGCTTGGCTAGTTTCTCTATTTCAAGTCTTATAAGGCCAAAATCAAGGAATGCTCTTCTGGAAGTTCTGAGAGAGAATCTACCTCCTGATTCATTCAGGTTGTACAGCTGGGATCCCCATTTCTTTGCAGGCCTGTAGGCCTCTTTCTAGTCCTTGTATGTGGGTCCCTGGCAAAGCCATCATCTCTCTGTCATATCTCTTCTGCTTCCTTTTTATCTGTTGCATCTCTCTGACTATTCAACCTTCCTCTTCTACTTTGAAGTGCTCAAATGATTAGTTTAGTGCAGCAGAGTAATTCATGGTAATCTAGGATAATCTTCCTAGTTTAAGGTCCATAACCTTAAAATGACAGATTCTGGGGATTGGGGCATGGGAATACTTGGGGGGTCATTATTCTGTCTACCACAGGATTCTTTTATCTGTACCACTGGTTCTCGACTCTGGCTGTATACTGGAATCACCTTAGAAACTTGAAAAAAATGCTTATGCCTAGGCTCCAATCAAGATGAACTGAATCCAAATTTCTTGCAGTAGAATCCATACAGTGATTTTTTTTTTAGGTGTCATAAAAGTATAATATGCTTCATAGGACTAATAACATTCTCTAACACCAGTTTCTTCAACTTAATTAAATTCATTTTGTAAGCAATCCATTCAAAATACACTTTCTTTTCCATTTTTTTAAGTTTATTTATTAAGTTAGAGATGAGGGAGGGAGGGGCAGAGAGAGAGGAATAGAGACAGAATCCCAACCAGGTTCCATGCTATCAGTGCAGAGCCTGACGAGGGCTCAATCCCACAAACTCTAAGATCATGACCTGAGCTTGGGGCACCTGGGTGGCGCAGTCGGTTAAGCGTCCAACTTCAGCCAGGTCACGATCTCACGGTCTGTGAGTTCGAGCCCCGCGTCAGGCTCTGGGCTGATGGCTCAGAGCCTGGAGCCTGTTTCCGATTCTGTGTCTCCCTCTCTCTCTGCCCCTCCCCCGTTCATGCTCTGTCTCTCTCTGTCCCAAAAATAAATAAACGTTGAAAAAAAAAAATTAAAAAAAAAAAAAAAAAAGATCATGACCTGAGCCAAAATCAAGAGTTGGACACTTAACCAACTGAGCTACCCAGGCACCCAAAACACACTTTCTATGTATTCTTTTTATGGCTAGGTATGGGAATTACAGAGGTATGTATAATGCATGTCCTACTCTTACCGTGCACACAATCTAGTGGCACAAACAGACACAACACACAAAAGAATTACAACATAACAGGATGCATTTTATTTATTTTTATTTATTTATTTTTTAATGACTATGTATTTGAGAGTGTGAGCAGGGGAGGAGCAGAGAGAGAGGGAGAGAATCCCAAGTAGGCTCTGCACTGCCAATGCAGACCCTAATGCAGGGCTTGATCCCACAAACTGTGAGACCTGAGCTGAAATCAAGAGTCAGATGCTTAACTGACTGAGCCACCCAGGCACCCCTAGTATAGATTAAAAAAATTTTTTTTAATGTTTATTTATTTTTGAGAGAGACAGAGACAGAATGCAAGTGGGTTAGGGGCAGAGAGAGAGGGAGACACAGAATCCAAAGCAGGCTCCAGGCTCTGAGCTGTCAGCACAGAGCCTGATGTGGGGCTTGAACTCACAAGCTGTGAAATCATGACCTGAGCCGAAGTGGGATGCTTAACTGACTGAGCAGCACAGGCAACCCCCCCCGCCGCCAGTGTACATTTTAAAATAGATATATAAGTAATTTGCTCTGGGAGTTCTGAGACATTTCTTGTGCCTTGGAACATGGCAGAATATTTCTGCTTAATTTATACTTGATAAGTTTTTTTGTTTTGTTTTGTTTTGTTTTGGTTTGTTTGGTAAACTCTACACCCAACATAGGGCTTGAGCTCACAACTCCGAGATCAAGAGTTGCATGCTCCCCCAAATGAGTCAGCCAGTTACCCTCTTAGTAGTTATTTTTAAAATAATCTGGCAGGGGGGCGCCTGGGTGGCTCAGTCGGTTAAGCGTCTGACTTCAGCTCACAGTCCGTGAGTTCAAGCCCCGCATCGGGCTCTGTGCTGACAGCTCAGAGCCTGGAGCCTGCTTCAGATTCTGTGTCTCCCTCTCTTTCTGCCCCTCCCCTGCTGATGCTCTGCCTCTGTCTCAAAAATAAATAAAAACATTAAAAAAAATAGTCTGGCAGGACCTAGAGACAGAGGAATGTAGGTGTGTTCAGGTCTCAGCATGGTCTAATGAGGATGATGTATTAACATTGTGCTTCTCAAAATTTAATAGACCAATAATTTCCTTGAAGGCTTACACAAAATGCAGATTCCCAAGTTTTTCTCCAGAAGATACTGATTCGTTGGGTCTATGGTGGGGCCTAGATATTCTGACATGTTCAAGAAGTTCCAGTAGTGATTCTGATGCAAATCATCCATGAACTCACAATTGGAGAAACAATGGTTCATGCTACATCAATGATTTGCTACCTGTTCATTCAATAGTCTAAAAAATTATGGAAGCTCCAATTGAAATTATTTTTCTTTACAAACCATATAGTTTGACCTCCTTATATCAATAACAGATGTTTAGGAAAAAGAATCCTTCTGTTTTAATTTTCTTACTGCTTCATTTATTGAAAGTGTTAAGGACAGGCCAGGATAGGGGTAGGAAATTCAAACCTTATATTGTCATTTCTTTCTTAAATATTTGATTGTAAGTAAATAAAGTAATTTGTAAAAATAATTCTAGCAGAAAGACTTAGGTTTTGCCCAGAAATAAACAGTGAGGAGAAAATAAAAGGTAACCAGGATTCTTGTACTTTGACATTTTTCTTGAGTGGCACTATCTATTCTACATTGAATAAAACAACAGAAAGAAACTTCCATTTGCCATACAAGTATAGAATACTGGGATTGAAGGAGAGTGCTCATTCCCTATTTTGATTCAGAAATGTAACTTCTTGAATATGTCATATGGGAAAGACACATACTAAATAGAAAACGACTTACTTTGTTCACACAAAGGTTCAGGATGCTTCATGGCAAATGAGATAGGTGTGGGAAATGCTTCTGTTAGCCTAATTTATAGTGACTGGATAAATAAGTGGAAAAAAAGAAAATGGCATAGGGCCCATAAAAATGCAAAATACGTTGGAAATGGAAGACTGGAAGTTAAAAGTTGTGGGGTTTTTTCTTAATCTTGAAGTGAACATATACTTTTAGTATCAGGGTTAGGCAACTCAACTAAAAATAAAAATCGTCATAAAGAAAATAAATTAATGAAATGTGCATATAGGAATATAAAAATTGAGAAAATAAAAAGTAGGTTTGCAAGGCACTACTATGCATTTAGAGGATTTAGGTTTTTGTGATAACTTAGTATTGATTAAGTCACACTGATTTATAAATTTTTTATGTAGAATAAAACATGATTTCACACTGAAGTAAGCAAAAAAAAAGATTGGTTAGAAGTTTTGCACTTGGAAATGTAGATCCATGAAAAATGTCTTGTGGTACAGATCAATGGTAATTTTAGGAAATGAAACCAGGATGATATTACATAAAGCCCTAAGTGACTAGAAACCTATATTTCAAAAGTTCTTTGAAGTTTTATAACATTCTTCATTTCTTAATGTTCTTTTCTCTGATGAAATAAATCATTTTTAGATTATGTTGGTGATTTTTTGACAAGAGAAATGAAGATCTTTTTATTTCATGTGTACAGTAAAGAAAATTATTTTGTTTCTAGTAGTAGAACCAAATCTTCCACTTTGTTTAATTTTGGGAAGTGAAAATGAAATAGTACTGGTAAGATCCGTGAGGCTAGCAGTTAAAGAGAATGTCAGTTAACTACTAGTAGGATCATTATGATCACAAATCCACTTAAGAGTTCAAATTAGAGCTTTCTTAGTTTTAAATAAGTTCTTTTCCTACTACACAAACTTAAAGACACTTGGAAAAACCCACTAGCAGATTTAGTCATTTAACCGCACCCTTAATTATATACTTCATTTCTCCTTAGAATTGAATGGGAGCTACTACATCTCACAAGGCAACGTGCAACTCAGTTGTCAGTAAATAATTTAACAAGATTTGAAAGAGATTTACAATGATTTGCTTAAAAGGTCTGGTCAGTTAATATCAAATGCATTTTAGCAAATGTAAATTTGGAGTAAGCTAAATATAGAAAAGAGAACCGCTCACTGAATGAACGTTGTAGAGGTAGCATGCAAAGAACCATTGAGCTAAACTGAAGAATACAATTAAACATACTTCTGATGACAATCATGCCATTACATCTACCAACATGAGACTCAGTCTAAACTGACCTTCAGCTGTATCTGTAGGGGTGCTATCTGCATGCCCAGTCATGATCCTTCCATTATGGATCTACAGAACTTTTGGTGAAAGTGATCTTTCCTTCATAACTGCTGCTCCCCACATGTGTCCGCTGGCAGGAAAATTTGATAGGTTTTGTCAGGTAGATGACTGAAATGAATTGGATCACCACACAAAATGGGCATTGTTAGACTTTATGGAGTGTACAGGAGTCCACCATGTGTTTGAAAAACTGCCACCCAACCTTGCTGCTGCATCCTTGATAAAACCAGAGGCCACAGACTGGCTGCTGGATTAGGAGTGCTACAAGTTTACACAGTGCAAAATACCCCCTGGTTACTAGCAGCACACATTCCAGATCATTTAAGAATAGGGTGAAGAAGGAAACTATAAAAGTGGAATGATTTGCATTGGTAAATATTTCGTGAATTGAATAAAATCTTTCATTATCGGTGCCAGAATTATCTAGTGAACCCTAAAAGGAATTTCACTCAAATACTCTTTAGAACTCTGATTTTGAAGCCTATTAGATAAGCAACAAAAATAACTGCTCATGTTGTGTAAAAGTTTTTTTCACATATATTGGGTTTGGCAAAATTCCAAATGTGTTTTTGAAGCTCTTTCCCCTTCCATTTTCCAGCTTATGTGCATTTTATAGTTCATTTAATCCTAACTCATGTATAAGTTATGAAAGCATTATTTCATAAAAACCTTGATTTACAAATAGAATAATATTTCTTTACATTCTTATTTGTGTATTTCTGTTTTATATATATTTACTACAGAGAAATGTAAGCTACCAATGTTTTAAATTTGGCTTAACCTTTATAAAGACTTACAAAGCAGTAAATTACTGTTTATTCAGTATCTCAACAACCACATAACTTGACAGATCAATAGTTTTGGGGACATTCTTTCATAAGAAAGTAAAAATGCTGATAGAGCAACATTTTTTTTTCTGATTTTCATTGTCAGTATGGATTCCAAAACTATCTAAAGCCTTCTAATAGAAGAAATAGCAGTTAATTAATAGTTATGATTAGTTTCCTTGATTGCAAGTTCAAAATCCTAAAGTAGTTTATTGGCTTATTTTTTTCATTCATTTACAGGAAATATAAATTAACCAAAGATACACGGATCGATCGGATATGGTTTCTGGCTTTGAAAAAAAACATATGAGCAAGGGAAATGGATATATGTAACTAAGACTAATAGCACATTCCAAGAAGTTATTAGATAAAGAAAGTTATTCAAAGGAAAATTAAACTGTGGTTTAATTTAAATGTTTAGTATCTTAACCATCCTAGATGAATGGAAATTAACTTGAATGGAAACTAACTTGGAAATTAATAGTTTCTCCATATAATGGAAAACAACAAATATTTGTGACAAAATTCAAATATATTGTAAGCAAAAGAGATTTTAAAAAATTAGAATAGCTTAATACAAATATCATTATAATAGAGGTATTTTCTTTGAAAATTTCTATTTCTCATGGAAATTATGCAGACTCATTAAATAATATTAAATTAATATATCGATCAATATTTCAGGTCATGACCCCTGGATTTGAGACACTCTTCAAGACAACATCAAATATGATCCGGGGGAAAATGTGATTTGAGTCTGGAGACAATTGTGTATGTAAGTACTGGAAAATTAGATTTTCTCATGGTAAAATTTAATAAAAACTAAAATATCAACTCATTAATTACTATATTGACAAAACTTTTATTCATTGTTTTCCTTGTTAACATTTTTTTAAAATATCTAAAATTAATATAATGCCTCCTCATTTTTTAGCTATTTTTTTAAGAAGATCAACTAATAATAAAAACCCAGTATATCTGATAGAAGAGAAACATTATTTGGAAGATTACTACAATTAAAAAGAAAAGCTGTCTACGTGAGTCATTGGTAAGGGCAAGCAATGACATAGATTCAAGTTGCTAGAAATTGGTGTGCTTTTGTTGCATGTGATAATAAAAATAATAATTTAATATGTGGAAAAACTTTTTATAATTCTTACTTTACCATTGGACCTATAATAAAAATCATGACAAGGTTCTTAACAAAATTAAATATTAGTTCATAGCTTTCTGGCAAATATCTATTGATTGGATTTTTTAAATCTCTGTTGATAAATACTTTGGATACATTCACTTAAATAAATATTGTATTATGACTATATCATGATAATTTTTATCTCATAAAAGCACTGTCAAAGTAGGTTGCTCATGGACCTTACAGTGAGTAAGCAATCCCAGCAATGTTTGTCTCTAAGAATTAAGATGTTAGGGGGTGTTGTTTTAGAGTCCATTTTCATTAGCTCAGGATTGTATCTACCATTAGAAAAATTTCACAGAAATACTTTATGTAGTATTGTCCATTTCCTGTAACCTTATTTTAATATAGATAATTTAGGAATATTTTAGTTCCCAATTAAAGGAAAAATAATTTCTATTAAATTATAAGGCCATTTTTGTGATGTATGGTTGTTGATTCTCAAGAAATTGGCCTGAGGAAAGTTTTTCCCCTTAAATTATTGAAGAGTCAGAAAATTTAAAATGAGGTTAATATATATAGGAGATAAAAGTGAGTTTTATGGTAAAATATGCTATCAAAATTTGTGCCTTTATGGTCTTGTGAAATTCTTTGTCTTGATACTTTAATTATTTTATTCCAATTTTGGTAAAAGCAAAGAAAGTAAGATGTTTTCTAATTACTTAAATTACTTATTATATGGTTTTTAAAAAATTACCACTGAGTACCATATAAATTTATTTTATAAATATTGATTAATTATATTTCTTTCATTTTATTTGCAGTTTGATTTATATTGTACAGCATATTTAATTTTGGCTTCAATGATGGAGAAAAAATGTATCCTGTATTTTCTGTTTATCTTGCCTTTTTTTATGGTAAGGATAAATTCCTCTAATATATCTCTCTATTTATGATTATTTATTTTGACTTCCAATAAGCCTATAATTAATAAACATTAATAACAACAAAAAGACATACAGTTATTTGATGCATAAATTAAGTACATTTTTAATCAACAGAGCAATACTTTATTTTCTTTCAGTGTATCCTTTTAGGCTTTAATTCACTAGGAGGCACTATAGGATGGTTGGGCAGTGAGGTGGGAGTGGGATGTTAAAGTGAGGAAGGTCCATGATAAAAATGTAAAAGATACCAGAGGAAGGTAATCATCAGAGTTTGAAAGAAAAATGAAATGGCTCTATACTACAGTCATATATATTAAATAAAATACTTTCAACCAGACCTGTTGAGTGTGTGTTAGATCTGTTTAAAAGTAGATTCCAACCTGTTGGTTTTTCTCCCATTCTGCCAACTGATTGATTTACATTAACTGAAACCATGCACTGTTTTATGTTTTAATTTTTTAATGTTTTATTTTTGAGTGAGAGAGAGAGAGAGAGAGCAGAGTGAGAGGGGGACACAGAATAGGAAGCAGGCTCTAGGCTCTGAGCACAACATGGGGCTCAAACCCACCAACAGTTGAGATCATGACCTGAGCTGAGGTCAGATGCTTAACCGACTGAGTCACCCAGGCACCCCAACCACGCACTGTTTTCAATCAATTTCCTTATCCATTCATTCAAATGAGTATGAAGTGCCTGTTTTCTGATGGGCTTTGATGCTAAATTTGGGGCAGTTGTATATGTGAGTGTGAGCACTCATGTGTGCCCTTGTACACGGCTGCGGGGAAGGTGAGACTGGAGGTGGAGGGTAGACTAAGGATGACTACAAACCTATTGCCCTACCGGAGGGGCCATATTCCTTACACACACAATTGGATGTTTATTTACAGAAATATTTTGTTCACATTTTTCTCTCTCCCACATTAAAACAGGGACTGTACTCTTATCTCATTATATATATTAGAAACCGACAGATGTAATCTCATCTGATTCTGTGCCAGCACATAAATTTCCTGTGGTGTTTTCAAGCAAACCCCAAAAGAGGATTTAAACAAAGAAACTCAAGAAAAATATAGAAAACCTAAATGGGGGAAAAAAAAAAACAAGCCTACATTCCTATCAGCATTTGTATTTGAAAACATTCTCCAGTCTAGGAGCAGTCCAAATCCTACACTTCTTAGATGTTATCTTAGGTAAATAGCCTAGAATTCAAGAAGCAGGACTCCTGTTTCTTCAGCTCCCTCCCTGCACTGAGCGTGCCAATGAACTACACAGGCCAACTCTGGTTGCCTGCAGGTAATTCTGTATCAGATTACCAATCTGATTACTGTAATTTAAGGAATCGTGACCATTTTTCTTGAATTCATTCAGATAGTGCAAAGCTGTGTTTTTAAGAATAAAAATGATATTGATTTTATGCGATTCTATAAACTTCCTGAGAACAGGAGAAAAATACTAATTTTCTTAATGCTGTAAATTTACATTTATTGCTTGTGCAGCACAAATGCTGCACAAATCTTTATTAGGAAATTAAAATGAATCAAAGAACGAGAGAATAAATGTTAAATGGTGCTCAGGTGATAGTGAGGCTTGAGTGGTACCACACACTGAGGGAATATAACTACTTAGACTTTGGTAAATATGAATTCGGGCTAGAGAACAGAGAATCAAGTATAAGGGAACAAAATAAGAGTAGAAAATTAAAGCTTATGAATGATAATTAAAGGAAATAATGCAAAAGTGGAGAAGAAGTAAGGTTGAGGGAGGTTATACAGGCTTCATATTGCAAAACAGTAACAAAAAGTCATGCAGATATTAAAATGGAAGTGAAGCTTAAATAGGACTACTAAATTGGAAGATCTTAAATATATACCTTGTCCAAAACGTTTATTGATGTACATACAGTAAAAATTCTATTACCAATGACATAAATGAACTTCTCAATATTTTGATGATCAAAATCTGATAATAAAAATGGCCAACAGTTTTGAATATTTACCACGTGTCAAATACTTCCCGTTATTTTTTTTTAAGTTTATTTTGAGAAAGAGAGAATGCATGTGTCAGAGCAGAGGAAGGGCAGAGAAAGAGAGGGAGAGAATCCCAAGCAGGCTCCATGTTGTCCGTACAGAGCCCATAGAGGAGCTCAAACTCATGAACCCATGAGATCTTGACCTCAGTCCAAATTGAGAGTCATTGTTTAACTGACTGAGCCACCCAGGCGCCCCATTCCCCTCTGTTATCTTGATACTATTTTATCCCATTAAAAATTTTTTTATTCCATTTTACAATAAGAAAGCAGAGCCTTAGGGAACTTAAATATCTTGCCCATATTCACAGAGCAGGTGAAAAAGTAGAGGTGGATTTTCAATACAACTGTCTGTATTCCAGAGCTCACGTCCTAGAGCCAGATCCTATAGGCTTCTGAGAACTGACTATAGCCTGTTTCCCAGAGCTGCCATTTACAGCTACTTGAGGTCACTTGAAATTAAACATGGTGGGGACATTTAAACCATGAAAATTAGCAAACAGTTCAAATCAGGGATTTTCCCCCCAGAACCAGTTAACCATGTAGCATATCACTGCAGCTACTCTTTTTCCACTGTGACAGACTGCCTCTGACAGACATTCTCACAATTCTGATTTTTTTTTTAAATCCCTTAGATTCTTGACATAGCAGAATCAGAAGAGAACATTGATGACTTAAATGAGTTTGGTGTCTATACTAGAAATAAAATCATGACAGCTCAGTATGAATGTTACCAAAAAATTATGCAAGACCCTATTCAACAAACAGAAGGTAAACATGACTGTTTAATTTTTAAATGCCTTTGATACCCTTTTAAAAGAAAACTACTCCATTATATCATTTATGGGTTTCTTAGGTCCATTGTTAAAAATGGGTTAGTTAGCTTTCCTGTTACATGTGCATTCTTACTTATGAAGAAATTTATGACATAATTTATTTTGCTCCTTTTTAAAAAATTCTAATTCAAACTATGTGCAACAGGAATATTTTTAGTAATGTTTTTTATGGTACAAAGATATTTAAAATATCAAATGTGTGTCTTTAATTAAATCAGTGACTTGATCTTCAGTTTACGTAATTTGTATTTCTCTTTCACAAGCTGCTTGACAGGAGCTTGCATAATAAATTATAATTTTTTTGCATAACACGTGCTTTGTATAATACATTTGGTCTAAGTGCTTCTGTTTCTATCAAGATATTCTTTAGATATTTTTATAACATTATTGAAGTCCTGCTAAGTGCCAGATATTTGCCTGGATTCTGAAGATACAAGGATGAGTAGCACAATTAGAGTTACTAGATTTAGCAAAAACAAATTAAAAAATCAAGACCAAAAGCAGGCCCTGTATTTTTATCTGGCACAGGTATATCTTCAAAATGTAAAACATGAAACTCACAATGAAACATAGCAAAATGTTAAGACTTTAGATATTTCTTTTTTTTATTTTTTTAATGTTTATATTTACTTTTGAGACAGAGGGAGACGGAGCATGAGTGGGGGAGGGGCAAAGAGAGAGGGAGGCAGAATCCAAAGCAGGCTCCAGGCTCTCAGCTGTAAGCACAGACCCTGATTCTGGGCTAGAACTCGTCAACCGTGAGATCATGACCTGAGCTGAAGTCAGACGCACTGACTGAGCCATCCAGGCACCCCTAGACTTTAGATATTTCTAAATTATCAGTGGATACAAAGATCTTTACATTTTTGGAAAAGTATTTGATGGTATAATATATAATGTTTCTTATATAAATGAAATATTGACAGTAGGTTATTATTAGTATTTGTAGCTGACAAAATGAACTTGCTTGTGAGAAAGAGAAAAAAGTGATTTTCCCACATTGGTCAACTTTTAGAACTTTTAGAATTGTAATGAACAATTCTTAATGAAAAATCTAATGGAACAATATAATTTGATAATCTTTGGAGAAGTATTTAGATAGATCTATCCAAACATTTTTTTAATGAGATGTTTATTCAGTTAAAAATATCTTGGATATATACCAGACACTGACAAACTATCTGATATTATGTCACTAGGGGTTAAATTATCCAGTACACAAACTGCATACAAATTCTGTTAACTTATCTGACTTATCACTTTATTCCATGAAACTCCAAGTTTCAAGTTTCAAATTATTGAATTAACCCCTTCCAAATCGTGTAGATATATGTAAAAGTAGTCTTCGAATCTCATTGTTGAACAATAGGAATATCTTTATGAGTGTTTCATAATAAAATAATTTTGTGATAAAATAATTTTAGAATCACTGTGTAATAAATCCTCCTCTTGGAGCTTCATAATGCACTTTGTAATTTTACATACTCTAGCAAGTCTTGCAAGAAAGAACGGTCTTCATTTCAACTTTATGCTTCCCAAATCTTTTGACCACAGAAACTCTTTTAATGGAATACCTACTCCTGTCTCACTCAAATGCCATACAACACATGTGAAAAATTCTGCCCTGTGTAATCTATCATACTGCCAGTGTTATCTTTAATTAGATGGGATCTTTTGGACTGGTGATAGGATCTGTTTGAGACGCTTTCTATCAGGGAATTCTTCTCTGTTAGGCCACAAAATGCATTTTATTTAGTAATATATGAATGTAGACTATTTAAATAAGTGAAAACCACAGGAGAAAAAAACAGAGATGAAATGAGTTATTTTTTAATAGAATTTAATAGAATTACTTACTTAATAATTTAATAGAATTACTTACACTTTCAGGCCAGTAGAATTTTTTTCTACCTCGATGAAGATTAGATTGAGTCTGAGATTGTGGCACAAATCTGTTAAAAAATAATAAACATCTCATGGAACATTTGGGCTTCTATCTATGAGTACTTGCCCGACTAGGTGAAAAATTATTTTCTTTAATTATAGACTGTTATAACATTGGACTATTGGTCATTTTATTTCTCCATCCCTTTTTAAAAAAAAAAAACTTATATGTGTTCATGTAAGAGGATCTTTCTCTTCAGTTTACTAAAAGGAAAATATGAGAATGTTTACATTCTACTCCATTTGAAATGTGAAGGAAGGGAAGTAAGAGCCACAATTTGGTAGAGGGGCCTGAATATCTGTTAGGGTCAATACTGTGAAACAGGAAGTGTTAGGGTGTTCATTTGTTTATCTCAGAAAATACTAAAACCTTGCCCAAAGAACACAACATTTTCCAATTTCTCATACTTTTACAAAGTTTTAAGTATAGGGACACTAAGTAACTACCACCTTTATGGTTAAGGACAGCCATCAAAGACCACTTGATTTATTGAATGAATAGCCACCTTTGAGAACTGGAATTAAATCTAAACTCTTCAGTACACTTTTATGGATATTTCTAAATTTAATTTGGCAATAAACCCAATAATGACTTGATGAAAAACTTACCAGCTATGGATTTTATATGGTCTTCATTTGCAGTTGGTAGTTTGTATTTCATGTCAGTATTAGCCCACCAGTAAGACTTATGTCTTCATGTATAACTAAAGGGATTATTAATCACTGATTTTTATTCTTCTCTTAAGGCATTTACTGTAACAGAACCTGGGATGGGTGGTTATGCTGGAATGATGTTGCCGCAGGAACCGAATCAATGCAGCACTGCCCTGATTACTTTCAGGACTTTGATCCGTCAGGTAGAAACAGAGATTTATATACAGATCCACTTGACATTAAATAAACTCTAAATTAATCTCATTAATGTTTTCTTCTTTTCTCTTTAATTAAAGAAAAAGTTACAAAGATCTGTGACCAAGATGGAAACTGGTTTAGACATCCAGAGAGCAACAGGACATGGACAAATTATACCCAGTGTAATCTTAACACACACGAGAAAGTGAAGGTATGGAATAATTATGAACTCAAATGTTATTTACATGATCTACTTACAAAGTTAGTTACTGATAGGGTATTGGAGAAAATTTAGCTAGTGTTCCATTGTGTTGTAAAGCCTTTTTATAAGCAATGGAGAAAAATCTTTGTGGAAATAATTATTCATTCTGTCATTACACAAAGGAAGCAATCCTGCTAGGTAATAGTGTATTTACAAGTCAATGTGTTGGTATTGGAGTTTCAAATTTCCCAAAGAAAACATATTTTAAAAGGGAAAGAAAAGGGAACATATTCATTGGTATTGGAGTTTCTAGAACTAAGTTCAGGAATTGTGCTCAAGTAAACAAAGTAAGTCCAAAAGGGTGTACACAACTCTATCTGTCCCTCAACAGAAGGCTGTCCTGACTGGCTGCTAGGTTACTCACTTACATTCCCACTTTTAACACAATACATTAAAGTCAAGGTTAGTCACAGTTTGTCACAACAATTAAGCTTTGATAGAAATTGCCTGAATACATTTGCACAGGTGTGAATATACAGGCAGTTTGTCAGTGATTGGAACGGAGTCCTCATTTCTTGTTCCTATTCTTTACCAGCCATATGACCTCAGGCAAGCTTATAACCTCTCTCTGCCTCAGTTTCCTTGTATATAAAATGAAGATAACAATAAACCTAGCCTCAAGGTTTTCATAAGGATTGACTTAATACAAGGAAAATTCTTAGAAAACTCATGGGTATAAAGTAAGCCTTTGATAAATGTCAGCTATCACTATACTTATAAATCATGTGCTCTTTGCTTATTCAGAGAAGATTTTAAAGAGAAGTATAAAAATATACAGTAAAATGGTAAGTTACAAATAGAATACAGAAAAATAAAAAAACAAAGAGGAAGAGTGAAACCATGTGAAAAAACATATTTGTATAGATTAGAGGCTCCTATAATTGCTATATTGAGATTAGTCTTGGGGCTTCAAATTTGTTAAAGGAAAAAGAAAAACCCAGTAGGAAAGAAAGCCTTATCTAAAATAAACAAAAATAATTAATAGCATTTAACATTCACAAAGTGATAGAGTAAAAACTGTCAATGTCCTTCAAAACATAAAATGCTACTTTCAAGTATTACAAAACCTAGATCAATAAAATTATTCCTTCCTAGGTTTAATATATGATTTCTAATTTTCTACATTAAGAGGACATACAATTTATAAACGTTGATGTCACTTGATAAATTTGCACAGATACTCTTTATTCCAGATGTATTTAAGTATCTATTGGTTTGTAAGCTAAATGGCAATGCGAGTAGAACACATATTTTTAGAAATATAATTTGTTCTATTGATTTGAGCTTATACACATGTGGGATTATAGTATTGATAGGAATCTTAATTGTTTTTTATTCATACCAATTGTAGACTGCACTGAATTTGTTTTACCTGACTATAATTGGACATGGATTATCTATTGCATCACTGCTTATCTCACTTGGCATATTCTTTTATTTCAAGTAAGTACATGTAAAATATTTTTTAATTTATCAATTGTCTTTGGTGAATGCAGTGCCTTGTGCATGTTTATGTCATGTGCTGATAAAATATAGGAATAGATGATTTATAATGTTTAAAATAAATTGAACATTTAGAATAATCTGAAATATCTTGATCTTACCTTGACTTTATAAAATGTATAGAGCAGAGATTGATGAAATATCTGAAGCCTAAGTATGAAGTCATGTGGAAAGAAGAGAGCCAAAATCAATATGTAAATGTATCTGTATTTGTTTTGGAAACTATCAAATATTATAGAGCTTATTAACTGAATTTTCAACTTCTAGGTCAATGTTAGTGTCAATATACATGGTACATTACAGAAACCAATGGGAATGTGGCAATGGGAATAATACGTATTATCTAATAATAATAATAACCTAAATATATTATGGTTCGGTTATTTTTCCTTGTTTTTTGGGGGGGTCATCATTAATATAGGTAGATTGCAGTTTGAATTTTACTTGAAATTTACTTCTTTTTTGGGGAAGGAGAGTCAACTCCAATTTCTTGATTTAGACAATCAACAAATGATTTTTTTAATTGATAGGAAAGTAAATATCAAAATTTGCATGCAGTATTTTATGCGTTAAAATGGTTTTCATAACTTGATCACCGCAAGTAATTATAGAATGCAGTATGGAGAGTGAGTAGCTGTATTTCATGGTAGCTTTATCACCATTGTCATTATCTTCCTCTTTCTCCTCCAACAATGGTCTTGGAGCATTAGCAGCTTCAGAATCAGCTAGAGTAGTAGCATACCACAATAATCCAAATCTGGAAATTATCAAGCCCCTGGATATACCAGAGCACCAGCTTTTGGCCCACAGTCCATCAAATATTCAGAGTGCATCGAAGAATATACAAACCAACCAACCATTGTCTCTCATGGGTTCAAAATCACAGGATGTATGTAGAGATTGCATCAGAACTGTACTGGTATTTTTGGAAACCTGCGCCTTTTTAAAAATCTTCAAGATTAGTTACTTTGAGGAATCCACATGGAAACTTTTTAATGGCACTTTTAATTTATAACATCATCTAGGCATGATTAGAAACTGACTTTAAAAAACTCCACTCTGAATAAAGCTAATTAAGCATTAATTAAAAGTCAGTTGAAAGGAATTTTTATCCTAAAATATGGAAAACACTAATAGAATAGAAAACACAATAGAATTATATTTACTATACTATATTTTGCAACAAGTTACCAAAAGGTTTTTGAGAAAACCAACTGCCAGTTCTCAATGCATTTGTAATTAGTTATGTCATATCAGATGCTTACATACAGCTTATTAAAACTTCATGTCTTTACTCATATATACTCTTAGCTTACACAAGATTTTTTAAGTGAATACTATGTTTGGAGTAGGAAAAACTTTGTTATGATTGCATAATAGATTAAAAATATCTCTTCTAAAAATAGAAAATAAACCATTTTCCAAAGTGATAATTTTTAGAGTCCTCTGATCCATAGTGATATATAATTTATGCTAATTGACAAAGTGAAGCAATGTTGCTGATGCTAACAAACTTATTGGTAAAATATGGTAATAAATCTTGGTTAATATTTAGTGAATTTAAAACACAAAATAGGGGTGCCTGGGTGCCTCAGTCGGTTGAGCGTCCGACTTTGGCACAGGTCATGATCTCACAGTTCATGGGTTCAAGCCCCACATCAGGCTCTGTGCTCACCGCTTGCTCAGAGCCCAGAGCCTGCTTCAGATTCTGTGTCTCCTTCTCTCTCTGCCCGTCTCCCATGCATGCTTTGTCTCACTCTGTTTCTCAAAAATAAATAAATGTAAAAAAAAACACACACACAAAATAAAATTAAAATTTCAAATTCTCATTTAGTATAATAAAATGACTAAATAGTTTCACGAAAATATAGTTCATATCCTTTCTAATTCTAAAGGCAAATCTTTACAATTTAAAAATACTACATTTTAAAATCTGACTGTCTTGGCTCTTGGAACTAAATGATACGGCTAATTGCCATTAAGTTTATGCAGTACTCCTAGAACTCAGAGATTTTTAGTTCACGAAAATTACGTATCTACCACACCATAACATACCAACACATGGAAAGGATTAATTTAAGTATAACTAGTGGTGGGGCGCCTGGGTGGCTCCGTGGACCCTTAAGCGCCCAACTTTGGCTCAGGTCATGATCTCGCAGTTCGTGATTTTGAGCCCACATGGGGCTCTGTGCTGACAGCTCAGAGCCTGGAGCCTGCTTTGGATTCTGTGTCTCCTTCTCTCTCTCTGCCCCTCCCCCACTTGCAATCTCTCTCTCTCTCTCTCTCTCTCTCTCTCTCTCTCTCAAAAATAAATAAGCATTAAAAAAATTTTTAATGCAACTAGGGGCACCTGGGTGGCTCCGACTCTTGGTTTCAGCTCAGATTATGACCTCATGGTTTCATGAGTTCAAGCTCCACATCAGGCTCTGTGCTGACCTCATGGAGTGTGCTTGGAATTTTCTCTCTCCATCTCTCTCTGCCTCTCCCCCACTCACGCTGTCTCTGCCTCTCAAAAATAAATAAACTTTAAAAAAATTTTTTTAAAGTAATATTAGCCAAGTTTCTTTTTTTTTAACATAAAACTTAACAACTATGACTGAATATAAAGGAGGCCAGCCTCTATCCTGAAGGCATAAAATAGGAATCATAAGAGCTGTTTAAGACTGTTTTACAAATCTTGGGGAAAAAAGGTATGACTGTTAAATATTTTTAACCTTAGGAAAAAGAATTCATTCCTTAATTAAAAACAAACTTGAGGTGCTCTGGTGGCTCAGTCAGTGAAGAGTCCTACTCTTGATTTCTGCTCAGGTCATGATCTCGCCATTTGTGAGTTGGAGCCCCATGTTGGCTCTGTGCTGAGCATGGGGCCTGCTTGGGATTCTCTCTTTCCCTCTCCCTCTGGCCCTCACACAAATGCATGCACTCTTTCTCTCTCTCAAAAATAAATAAATAAACTTAAAAATATGAATTTTTAATTTTTTATTAAAGTTTATTGATTATGAGAAAGAGAGAGGGATAACAGGCTGAGAGAGCAGGATAGAGGATCTGAAGCAGACTTTGCACTGATAGCAGAGAGCCCCATGCAGGGCTTGAACTCATGAACCATGAGATCATGATCTGAGCTGAAGTGGTGGGACTGAGCCACCCAGGGACCCCCAAAATATGTATTTTTAAAACAAACTATAATCTTGGGAAACAAGATTTGCACTTAAATTTGCATTTTTTAAAAAATAAAAAAAATTAAGCATGTTACTAATTCTTAAATAAAGACAAGAATATATAAACCTGTAATTTTAATATCCTATTGAGCAATTTCTTAGATTTTTGTAGTTTTATTTCATATTAATTTGTTTTTACAGTTTTAATTGCAAAGTATTTTAACTATTTTTATAATTTAGCATTATACAATTCTTTCCATGTCCCTAAAGAGTTTTTAAAACTCTTCAGTTTATTATTTAGTTATTTACTTGGCTAAATAATATTCCATTGTGTAAGCTGACAAAAGTTTATTAAATTGTCCCATGTTTTAAATAGTAACATTACTTCCAATTTTTCCTATTAATAAAAAACACTGTACAGACATTTTAAGCCATAACTTTTCCCATATTTGGCACTATTTTTTTAGGCTACATTCCCAGAGACTTGGGATTTTTTTGGTCAAAGAGTATATATCTTTTTATGGCTCTTCAAATACATCATCTCAAAAGTATCTGAATATCAATATGCTTGAAAAAAATTCATAATACATACCTCCTCCTAACTCAAAGCAGTTTTTCTCCCAGAGTGACCCATCTTCAAGATTACCACCACCAGCAATCTAGTTGAGTTAGGGGCAATCTGTGGCACCTTCTCAACTTTCTTCCTAACCATTCTTCCTCATACTCTGGATTTCACCTCCTAACAGCCCTCCAATGGATCCAGTTAGTTAACTCTGCTGCCACCACCACCAACCTTGTCTTAACTAACATCAGGAAGTTCCCCTTTACCACCTTCATTCAATTCTAAACAATGCAAGCCAGAATATTTTCAAAGCTGGGGCGCCTGGGTGGCGCAGTCGGTTAAGCGTCCGACTTCAGTCAGGTCACGATCTCGCGGTCCGTGAGTTCGAGCCCCGCGTCGGGCTCTGGGCTGATGGCTCGGAGCCTGGAGCCTGTTTCCGATTCTGTGTCTCCCTCTCTCTCTGCCCCTCCCCCGTTCATGCTCTGTCTCTCTCTGTCCCGAAAATAAATAAACGTTGAAAAAAAAATTTAAAAAAAAAAAAAAAGAATATTTTCAAAGCTTAGATCAAATACAGATATGATTTTGTCATCCTTTGCTTTAAAAAGCTTAAACTTTCTGCTGTAATTTATATAAAATCAAAATCATTAATGGATCCTATAGTTGAATATCTTGCCTATCCTTCCACCCCAGCCTAATTAAATTTATTCATCTTTCAGATCTGAACTTGAACATCAATTCCTCAGTGAAATTTTCCTGAATTCCTTATTGTAGTATTTCTAAAACTGTGACTAGCTACAGCGCATGTGGAGTAAATTTTTAATTACCATTTAGGAGACCACCTATCTCTGTAGATTTAAAACTAATACAACAGAGATCCTTCAGATTAAACAATGTTTTTTTTTTAATTTTGCTTATAATAAGCCAAAATATTCAAGCACATTAAATATCTGAATGACATGAAGTTAAGAAGCATAACAATTATATAGCATGCCAAAATCTGTAGTCAAAAAGAGAACAATGGTCTCCTAGAATACCAAGTCTTATGGTCCCAAACAAGTTTGAATTTAGCAAGGATGTAACTAAACTCATACACTAATTCCATAAAGTCAAATGCAAAATTGACAAAGCTTTTGTGAGTCTATGATTTAGTTGACCAAATGCTTGCTGTGAATTAATGAGGAAGCAGTGGGATTGCCAAGTGAAAACAATGCTACAAGCCA